CAATACCCTCATCAATACTCGGCAGCGTACGGTGCAGCAACATCGTGAGCTCCATAGGCAGCACCAACGGGTCACCATCAGCCGACAGCCTCGCCAACCGGAACATCTGCGGCGCCTCCTCCCTGTCCACCGGGCTGTCGAACCCCGTCATCATCCGCCCGGTGACCGTCTCCCACGCCGTCTTCCCGGCGGAACCGTCCAGGCTGTCGTATACCGCCTTCGCCTCACCTCACAGTAGCTACACATAATTATTTAAAATTAACAATTTATTCTCAAATAAAAACGTGTCACAAGATGCATGCCAATTTACGGGCACGATCGAAATGATAAAATTGCTAACATATTTTATATTCAGTTAGATAAATATCTCACAAGATTCACTGGCTTTCTATAGAGGACTAATATTTTTCTCATAAAAATTTAAATAATATTTCAGACTCAGGAATGTACAATACGATAGTTGGCATGAGTTATAACGGCTTTGTTGTGACAAACCACTGCTGGTTGAGAATTAGTACAAGTCCGGGTCTGTATAAAACAAGAAATGATGACGTAGATGTGTTATGACATTCTTATTCAGATTTATCAGAGAATCAATTGACAGGACCCCAGGTAAAACAACCAGTTCTTTGTTAATATCAAGGCTAATATTAAAGGAGTAGGGTGAGGTACTGAAAAAGGGAAATAAAGAGAAAAGGGTGAGCAGCTTTTAGTGGTGACTATGATCACCACTAAATGTTCCTTACTATCCGATCATATAAATAGGAAATAAATCCATGTTCAAATATTTATTGAAGGAGAAAGTAGGCATTATATAGAGAGCAGCACGTTATGAAAAATAGCAGCAACGCGAAAAGAACGTTGCGCACAAGAAAGTGTTTTTGGTACAGTTAAACAAAACGAGTATAATAATAAATGTTTATTTTTCACCAATCGCGTTTTCTTCGTAGAAGTGTTTCACTAAAAGCTGAACAGAAAATATTCCTAGTTAAAGCTGAGTCATGACTCAGAGGAAAATTTTTTTAATCAAATAAAGATATGATTAATCAGCCCTTTTTCTTTATTAGAAAACTAACTGTAAACATGCGCTTAAGTAGAATAATGAAGACAAGTCATAAGTAAGTTAATGAACGGGTAAATAACTTTAAAACGTTTAGTTGAATTACGTGGTTAAGAGTATTTCAAACGCTAGATCACGAGATTCTGTGAAGTTTTTTACTTTACTCTTCAACTTATCTCAAATGAAAAGCTTAATAGTCTAACATTTGATTATTAAGGACACATATTTCCGTTTACGGTCAGCACAGTGTTCTGATTAGCTTCAAATTACATAGTATACTAGACACTTATCCGCTACTGAAGTCTTTAGAAATGGAATACGTTTTAAAATTTGTCTTGAAATAGCATCCTCAGACTGTTTACAAATGAAAGATTTATAAAATACGAAAAGAGTTATAAAGTGGTTTGATGTACCTTGGGTGATAACAGTGCATATCTGGATTAAAATAAACTACTGTATGGATGATGTGCTAAATAGTTCCATCACCGAGAGACTGGCAACAGATGAACCTGGAGATAAAATGGTACGTGATGGGTAGTGGCTGTATTTTCAACATAAAGAAAAAGTTTGGCATAAACACGATTGACTAGATTCAAAGATGAAGTTCTGGAAGTACACCTCTGATCATAAACGCATAGCGACGAACGCTTAAAATATGAAATTCAGACAACTTTAAATGCAAACACTCCTTCGAAAGTCTCGGAAAATGAGCAAATTCAATCATACTATCCAAAGTTGATATCTGTTGCAGTGTTAGGGCTAAGTTCTTATTATCTTAGGAAGACAACCATCCGCTTAACGGATCACAGACCATAAAGTTCGTATGATACTTATGGTTGTGAACCATTTTAAAAGACAGTTTCCTTTTTTCAGTATCAGGTACTACTAAGAACGACGGACTCGTCTTTCCTACATTCACAAGCGTTTTCTTTACTTCGTAGATGAATACGATTAGTACATTTTATCTGTAAATGAAATAAGTAGGCTGAAACCTATTGAAGGTATTTTCCAACTCTTCCAGCTGTACAACCTTTGTAAAATTTTAGTGGTTAGCGGCTCAGTAACTGAAATTTGACTAACGTCCGTTCATTTAGGTGTATACTGTCAGCCACTGCTATATCTCTTACTGTACCGCTTTGTACCGTTTGAGGCAATAGGTGGTATGTAACTTCAACCTTTGGTTGGTCTGCGTTTAGCCGGGAGGTACCTTGTGTGCCGAGGAAGTGTGTGAAGAGCAGCGTGTGAGAAGAAGAAAGAACAAGAGAAAAAGATCAGCCGACGACTCAGTAAGCACATAGAATGCACTTACATGCAATAGAGAGATAAACAGATTGCAACCACAAATAAAGCCAGCGTGAAATTATGACAAACTGATAAGCGAAACTGGGAGTTGAGTAAGGTTTTGAATGCGTTACACATTAACAAATTTATATACGTACATGGATAGGCTTTAAGGTCCGTAGACATAACTGTTGTGTTACAACTAATGAAACCAAGATTACTTGTAGGAATATCTGGATAGTAGGTGTATTAGCTGGCCTAGTTATTTAGGCACGGTGCTGTATGTTATTTCTTTCTAGACGCATATCTGGCTGGGTGTTTTTCTTCAGAGAACTAAGGAAACGGAATAGCCTGATTAAAATGCTGCTTTATCGCAGAAAAAGGAGCAATCAGATGGTGTGACTTCAACTTAAGAATACATAAGCTAAGTAGTAACAACACTCGTCTACAAATCTAGCAGACGGAAACTATTATTGAAAGGGTGAACCATATCCATTATAGTCTTCATCTGTAAAAATTGACAGCACGAGTGAAGTAATCAACAGATTAAAATTAAAGATGTTACAGAAAGTGGAATAGGGATGTTCAGTTGATTGTACTTTAGCAGTTCCTCCGATTCTGCTTCGATTTGGAGTTTAAAATGGGGAGAATAGTCCAACAAAATTTTTGAAGATGCATGAAGGTAGCTTGAGTCAGACCTTTCAGAGTGATAATTCCATAATTTTTCAAGTACACAAAATCGGAAGCAACCATATTTCAGTTTCTGAAGAGAAGATTATGATCACCTTGTTAAATGCATCAAAGAAGTCTAGAAGTTCTATGCATCTGGATCTGCGCAGTCAGTGAAATGACAATGGGCAATAGCCAAATCACTAACCGGCATGATAATGAATGCTAAACAGTTTACTGACCACCATCGAGGTCGATGACAAACAGTTCCCATCAATGACATGCATGAAAAAAGTGGCTCATGAGGCAATGGTTTCAATGCATGTTTCTGATAACTGGTAATACTAATATATTTTATTGCCTTTTACGAGTATTCATTCTAGCCAATCAGCTAGTTATCATAATGGCATAATAGAGGCTAATTGTTAACCATAGTGAGTGGCGTAGATATCTAGAAACAAATTAATTAAATACTTTGATACTAACCGTTCAAGTAAGTCGAAAGGCAAGATTGGCGTAATACTGATCGCTTACTACTTATTCCTTCATTTAACCGCAAGAATGAAGATGATGACATAATAAAAGTTTAAATCCACCATTAAGAAATACCAACGAACCAAGTCTTGGTGCTTTCCTTAAGTCGCTCTTATTCGGAGTAGTAGTTATGGCTGCTGACAATCAAATACAGCAACACAATAATAATGTTTTATCAAGACAGAGTGAGACGCTTCAAACTATTTCCGTTATCGCTCTGTAGGTTACTAGCTGATTTAGTTCTGTCTTACAGTAGACCGAACGATGATATATCCTGCCTTTTAAATCTTTAGTGGTGACCGAGTTGAGATTGACTATGATCACCACTAAATAATCATTACTATCTCGTCACAAATTATAGAAATCAATCCATTGTCGAATATTTATTTGAAAGAGAAAGTAGGCATTACATAGAGCAGCAAAATATGAAAAATGCAAGCAACGCGAAGAAAGAACTTGCGAGCAAGTAAGTTTATGACTGATGAAACTAAAGTGAATTCTTTAAATCAAGGCAAATCATATATGGTTGAAGTTTTTTTCAACACGTCATGTAAGGAATCGCTAAAGTTCCTTTCCAGAATACGTGATAACAGAACCATCTACACGCAAACCGAAAATAGATATGTACTACGCTAGAAATTACAAGGAATAATACAGCTTGTTTGAGATCCAATCCATGCTACCGCGGACTGGATATTTAGACTGCTTTCCCATCCGAAGTGATCACAACCCCCTACATGGATAGCTTCTAGAAGAGACATGATAAACATGTACCCGAACACAGATCTTCATCTCCTTCTTCAAACAGTTGTGCCTGATGTTTGTTTCAAAACTTGCTAGGTGTTATTGCTGCCATTTTTCTGGATCACTAACTGAATATATCTTGCTTATTATCTCTGTCTTCTCTCCCTCGCTTACAACTCCGTCTTCTCGCACAATCTTCAATAACAATTAATTGACTTATTTACACATTTACTTACTTAGTTCTGAAACATTGTTAGCTCTAAACTTTTCTCCTTATTATTCTTCACATAACAACTAACTGAGCTCTGGCCTAGTAGAGTGATTGCTGTTGGTATCCAGAAACCCCGTTGCCCTGCAACAAATGCACTCATTCACATCACGGAACATAAAAATTCATAATTAACTAACAACTGACTGGAATAAGCGTAGTCGATTGGCACCACCAAACATCCAAAAAAGTACAGATAAAACAAGAATCGAGCACAAAAATTTCAATCGGTTTATGCTAACTAGTGAAGAAGACATTGGATATTGGATATCCAGGGTAGAATTTACGAATAATCGCGCCACACAAATTTGCATGAATTTCGCGCCTTTTTGGCGGATTCATCAAAAGGTAGTTGCAAACATCTCGCGTAAACTATCATTTTGTCACCAACCAATCAATTCGCGTTTTATCAACAGCAGAGTCTATCCTTCACTGATAAGAAATATGAACGGGGTTAAAGATATTGACTCACTGCGTGCTAAAGTTCGCGATCAGGTAACTTTCTTGTTATTATTTACATTAAATACTTCGTCAGGGTGATGTAGTACGACGTCTCAAAGAAGAAAAAGCACCCGAAAATGTTGTAAAGGAGGCTATTTCTATTTTAAAGGCTTATAAGAAATCTTTAGATGATATGGTATGGACTTTTCTCATTCATAAGCTAACTGTAACTTCTAGGAAATTGAACTATCTCCCAAAGATCCTAGTTTTGACCGTGGTAAACTCGAAGATCTTTTGAAACAGAAGTTTTTCTACGATCAGTCTTTTTCAATCTATGGGGGTATGTAAACATTTAAAACTTATTGAATTTAAATTTTGATATGGTTAAGGTGGCTCTATAACTACAGTCTTTCTTTGCCTTTTGCTTTCACCATATTATTTCAGGTATTCAGGGTCTATATGATTACGGCCCAATGGGTTGCGCTATGAAAGCCAATTTACTTGCTGCTTGGCGTCAGTTCTTTATCCTGGAAGATCATTTGTTGGAAGTAGACTGCTCAATGCTTACTCCTGAACCTGTTTTGCAAGCATCTGGACACGTCGATCGATTTACAGATCTGATGGTTAAAGATATAAAAACTGGGGATTGTTTTCGTGCTGATCACTTAGTAAAGGCAGCACTTGAAGCCAAGAAAAATAGTAAGAAATCGTCTGCAAATGAAAACCAGGAAATTGATAAAATACTTTTGCAGGTAATCAGCGCAACACTTTTTCTTTCTAAAGTATTTTATGACTGATTTCTAGGGTCCGACATCATTTTCTAGTTACTGTCTCTTCACTTGTTTACTGGTTGATCATATCTGTAAATTTTCTCTACTGATGTTTTAGTAACAGTCTGTGGTTGGTACTGACTTTCGTACGAAGACAATGTGCGTCTTTGTTCTCTAGAGTTTGAGTTGGGCTCCCCAGTCTTGTGATTAAAAATATGCACTTTTCATTGACAACTGGTCCTCACACACAATGGTCGACATTTGCGTCTCTGTGTTCACGTGGCATGGCAACCTGACATGATGTACGTACGTACGAAGTACTACGTTGTAACTGGCTGACTCACACACAATGTTACGCGATAAATCAGTTAAATTAAAGTGGTAGAAATTAAAAGTAAATCTTTCATGTGTATTGATATATAGTAGTCAAACGCTGCTGCTTAATTTTTGTCACATGGTTTTAGATCTATGACACCGTTCGACAAGCTTACACTTCTCAAAGTGATAATTAGTCATCTGATTCTTACCTACACAACATTCAAGAAAATGATTATTCATTTTCCATGATTCACATGTTCATTCATCATTATTCGTTCCAACTGTCAGCGTTCATTATCTGATAACTTTAATAAACTTTTTATAGGTATCTTTCTAACCTTATAAATCTTACTAAAAACCCGTGAACAAAGGAATTACTTCCAAACCTAACATTAAAAACTCATCAACTTTTCCGGTAGAGTCATCCTGTTCATGAATGATAGCTAATCCTTAGACTATTAGGATTAATTTGTAGCTATATTATCATACAATAGTTCAGTCTTTCAAAAAATTCATATTTTCAAGTTAATGTGTCGTTCCAATTTATTTGACACCATACTTTTCGCATTGACTAGTTGTCTCTCAGTTACGAGCAGCATAGAACGTAATAGCTTTTAGATTAGAAACAATATCAGTAATCGTGAAACGGACTAGGATATATCATTCAGGGTTGCATAGTTTTATCATGTGGACGCATTTGCGGTGCTCACCTTTAATATAAACAATCTTATTTCATTTCAGTTAGACAACTATGGAGCAGACGAACTACACCAAATTATACGCCGTTTTGATATCAAATCGCCTACAACAATGAACGACTTAACTGAACCTCAAGAATTCAACTTGATGTTTTCTACAATGATTGGTCCTACCGGTCAATGTAAAGGGTAATTTATCCCATTTTGTCTGCAATCTACTCGTCTGTAGTAAAGTTTTTGCTTAGCTTTCTGTAAAATCCATTATTTAAAGCCAGTGCCCTTAATTTAAAATTATTATCCAGATAAACCTTAACAACAGTTTAAAGACATACGCTAATGAATAATAAATATTTTTAACCTCAGTTTGTTCTTTAAATGTGTGAATAAGAATATTCATTCCGTTAAATGCTGTCAGAACTTTTAAGTATCTATTTATATTCCCTTATTAAAAAGTATGCACATAGATCTCTAATCTGCACAATACATTAGGGCGTCACTTCCAAACAATCTGTTCTGATCCAAAAAGTAAAGTTCCATCCCACATCTTTGCGATATCTGTCTTCCGATATCTCACACATTCCAGTCTTTTGTATACCTCAGAAAAATCATTTGATAACTTCATTTCCACTCATTTCTAAAAGTTGCGCAGTAAGTCTTCGGCGCAATCATTCAGTCAATTATAAATTGTCATGTTAAATCCTAGATTAGTGGAGGTAGTAGCAGTAATAGCGGTAATAAGAAAGTTAAGAAGATAGGACGCGAGAAAATATAAACCAATAAAATAAATTTCGGAAAAAGTGATGAGGAATTCTAAAGCTTAGAATCTGGCGGAAGACAAAAAAATGGATGTGAATAAAATGTTTGCAGGAAGTCAGTTAACTTCGAGTTCACTGTTGTAAAATGAAATTCTAAATTCTAACACACTAGATCTTATTCATTTTAAATGCTACGCATGTTTTTCATCAAGATTATTATTGGTTACTTTGTGAAAAGTGAAAATGCAGACTGTTAAGTTAAACCCTACAAATACGTATGGTAATCACCAAATTTTTATAACCATACCTATGGTTTCATCTCTTTCATAGAACCAGATTTCCTAATTTACTTCTAAAATCTTTAGTCTCTGCTTCCTTGACACTCCCTAGTTAGTGTATGGGTTTTAATGGTTCCCATACACACTTTAAAATTCTCATCTAATTAAAGCAACTTGAAGGAATTAAGGCAGCATCAAACGGATGTTCTCGCTTTCGTTTTTTGGTCTGATTATGTTTAAATATTGTTTTTTTAGCTCTCAATCGATGATAATGTCGAGTGAGTTTATGGAAAAGTATTGACACATTCACCAGGCACATGAGTTTAAGCCATAGTCTAAGCGTATGGGCTAATAATACTGTCCGGTTGTTCAAACGTAAGTAGGCAGAGCGAGGTTCAAACCTCGGACTTAGTGGGTGAAAGTTGATCACCTTAACCACCAAGTGACTTCACCACAAGGGAATTTATAAACTTAAAAAATTATGATCGCATTCATAACTGTTAACTATGATACATTCGACCCTTATCGCTTCTATAAAATGTACATATTCAAATATTTGATGGTAATCTTATTCTGACATTTACTTTCTAGTTATCTTCGCCCAGAAACTGCCCAAGGAATCTTTGTTAATTTCCAGAGGCTCTTACTCTTTAATCAAGGTCGTCTTCCTTTTGGAGCTGCTCAAATCGGTTCTGCATTTCGTAATGAAATAAGCCCTCGTTCTGGCCTAATTCGCGTTCGAGAGTTTACCATGGCTGAAATTGAGTATTTTGTAGATCCTAGTGATAAACGTCACCCCAAATTCGAGGATGTGAGAAATACAGAGATGTTACTGTACTCGTCATGTGATCAAATGAGTGGCGAAAGACCTCGGATTACTACTATTGGGGAAGCGGTTGATAAAGTACGTCAAACTCCTAATCATTTTTCTTGTACTGGACATTAATATGACTTCAATATATAACCGGTATCTAAAATTGTACAACAAATTTGTATGCAAATGTCAGTGATTATGATTGAGAAAAGTAGATTTCACCCAGTTATAATGTTAATATCTCATCAACGTTCAACGTCATCTAGGACTTGGAAAACCAGGTAACATGGCATGATGGATGGTCGAGACGAACATTGAAAGAGAATAATGTAAGCAAACTTAGTGGTTCTCCTCACTGATTGTGTCCTCACTAAAGACATCTTGCATACTTTGGATGTATCCCAATTGTAACTACTACCTTGACGTGCTGGTGGGATTTGCATATCCAGTCGAGCTTCACTTTCTGGAACGTTTGTTCACTTTGGTTCTGTCATATTAAAAGAGTCTTTTGGGCAACGTTGGAATTGAAAGCAGTAACCTAAGGTCTAAGTGCGAAGTCGTTCTGCTGACTGTACAGGGGTGCCAGCAACAAATTGTTTCCCTCAAATAACTAGCATCTACAGTGGTTAAATAGATAGGCAAATCGACCGATGAGATAGTGAATCTTCATCAACTGAGGTGGTTAGGACATGTGTTACATGTGTCTAACCACTACCTACCTCAGAGAGTGGTGCTTAGTAGTGCCGAAATCGGTTGAAAAGAAACTAGGGTCGACTAAACCAAAATGTGACATAAGTCCATATGGTCACTGACTGTCGGTCTGATCCAAGTAGGTTGATACAGAGTGCTTGGTTTAGAATCCGCGAAATAAACTTCAAGTTCGTTTGAAGTGGCACAAATGCATCCCAGAGTTTCTTCATACATACTTTTTACTTCGTCCTTCTAAACTATATTCCATAGATTTAGTGTTTCATTTTATCATCACCACTACATTACTTCGAGCTCTTTTTTTAATTTATTTCATCCGGTCATGCTAGTTCGATACGGTGGCTAGGGCCAACGCTTGTCTGTCCCAGGTTGTCTGTCTGTTTGCCTGCCTTTCTTTTCATACCATTTCGGTTGTTTCTTATGCGACCTTGGTGGTGATTGTTTTCTAAGTGACCAATGTTCACTTAGTGCTTATTTACTTATCAAACTTTGTACAGCCATGTTGTTTATTCAGTGCAAATAATGGATATTTTTTTAGTTCAGTAAACAAGTCTTAAAGTGATTGTTTGGTTGTGTTTTGTTCATTTCCTTATGGCAGAGAATAATTCATTGATTGATTATCCTAGTTCACGCAACATTCAGCGAAAGAATTATCAGTATTTGTGCCATATTAGGAATTATTATTTTGGCTACATATTTGTGTGATGTTTAAAATATCTCATCCACTTTTCTTACATCTTTTTGACTGTCTTGAAAAATCTATTGTCTCAGTCATATATACCTTTAAATTTTTTTTAATACACGTAAAATCCGGTACAGTTAGGTACCAAAACATGTATATGCCACATAAATAGAGAAATGAAATAATAAAGAAATAAGAGAGGAAAGGGGAGTACGATAAAAAACTAAATAAATAAATGTAAACGATAATAGTGCATTGCAAGAAATACAATCAGCAAAGACCTTTCAATTTTAAAAAAAATGCTACTAGATGATCGCCGCTGAGTTGCACAATATCCTATTTTAATTTTGTGCCTACTATATATACACCTAAAAGATGGAAGTCTAAGTATCCATAAAATCTATTAATCAATGACTTTAAATCTTTACCTACCACTTGTATTTGAATATTTATATATTCCTTGATTCTACAGTTAGCAAACGAAACGTTCGGTCAGTTATTTCGTATTGTAATCAAACGTAGTAGTCATGAATTACGAATTATGCTGATAAAGCAAACAGTTTGTTTATATGCCGTATACAGATAATCGACTCAGTCGTCAGTGTAACCTCCGTGGCCAATGGAGACCATATTGACAGCTAACAAAATACCTTTTGCCTATACTTTACTTGTTATCTCATTCATTGTGGCATTTCTATCCATATGACAGGTTTTTATACCACTGTGAAAAGATTGTTTAACCTAAATAGATGTATCTAATTTCAAATCTAAATTTATCTTCAAGTGTGTATCATTCTGTGCTAAGTCATGTGCGCGTTTCTCTATAATAACCCATTATCCAGTTCCTTAGCTGGTGTAAGATTACGTAATCGACCTCCAGAAGGTAAATTTTATCATTGTGTCTAGTTCGCAGTCCTGAGTGAAGTTTGTTCCCTCTTAAATGGCCATTCAGTTAATAGATCTGACTCCATGTTGTGACTCATTTATTTGCATGATGATTATTCTAGACTAGAACATACAACAATATAGGTTTAAGCATTTAGCTTACTTGATGTTTCACTTAGATTTTACTGGGGTAACGGTCAGAAGCTGAAACGTTTGTTATTACTGTTTGTTGTAACATATATTGATACCAATAACTATCTTAATACTTCTAATGGTTCTTTTGTTTTTGGTAGGGTGTTGTGGCAAATCAAACATTGGGTTACTTTATGGCACGAATACACTTATTTTTAGTTCACATTGGTGTAGATGCAAAACGACTACGATTTCGACAGCATTTATCAAATGAAATGGCTCATTATGCCTGTGATTGTTGGGATGCTGAATGTCAAACAAGTTACGGTTGGATTGAATGTGTTGGTTGTGCAGATAGAAGTTGTTATGACTTAAATCAACATAGTAAAGCTACTGGTGCCCGTTTAGTCGCAGAAAAACTGTTAGATGAACCTGTAAGTATTTCTAGTTATTTTTTTCTTATCTCTTATGATGATAGTAATAAAGACTTATTACACCTGTTACTGGGATTTTCATAGCGATTCTAAGATATAATTTTCTGACTGTAGTATTCACCACCTATGTGGTGAAAACATGCAGTTTTTCAATGAGGAATCCGTGGTAAACGCTCTCATTAATTTGTCTCTCGAATTCTTTTTAATGTAAATATTATATCGAATTGCATTACTATTGTGAAGGTGACTATTGCATATGCGTACTTCCATTCAATTAATTTGTTTGGGTTAATAAGAATCTTGGGAACTAAGTATTGTAAGCAGTACATTTTGGATTTTTCTTCACAACCGACTCAGGCTTCTTTGCCATCATCAGTGCTGATGGCCTGGTGACTGACAAAATCTCAGCTCGGATACAGAAGGCTCGATTGGCTTTTGCCAACCTGCGTCACCTATGGCGCAGGCGGGATATCTGTTTGCTAACCAAAGGACGAGTGTACTGTGCAGCAGTTCGCTCCGTCCTACTATATGGATGCGAAACATGGCCGTTAAGAGTAGAGGACATTCGTAGATTGCTTGTTTCTGATCATCGATGTCTCCGAAACATTGCTCGTGTATCCTGGGACAACCGTATAAGCAATGATGTCGTTAGGAAACGAGTTCTAGGTAGGGGTGGCAAATCAATAGATGAAGTAGTGAAACTTTATCAGTTGAGGTGGTTGGGACATGTGTTACGTATGGCTAACCACCGACTGCCTCGACGAGCTATGTTTTGCAGTGTAGGAGTAGATTGGAAGAAAGCTAGGGGTGGCCAAACCAAAACATGGCAGAAATCTATGAAGTCACTGACAAGTGGACTGAGTCATGTTGGTAGATGTAGACTACCTGGTTGGGGTCCGCGAGACGAAAGTAACCGATGGTTAGAGACGTTGAACGACATGGCTCAGAATCGTTTGCAATGGCGCAGGTGCATCCACTCTTTGTGTTCTATGAAGTTCTAAGCTTCTGCATCCCTCATAATCTCTACCTTTCTCCTCCTAAATTTATCTTACTGAATTATACTTCTCGAATTATATCTTCGCTCCCTAATCTTCTCCATTGCTGCTAATACTTCTATTATTGCTATCACTCTTGGATTTGAAGTGACAGTTGTGTCTCTGTGCTGATGGGGCATGGCAACGTGAACTGATGCGCTTACGTACGAAGTTCTGCGTTGTATCTGTCTGCTTCTTTGCCAATATAAAATCTACACTCCGGTAGGATAAGTCCTACTGTTTCATCAATTGATTGCTAAATTACTTTCGCAATTCTCTTCTCCAATGTCCAATTAAGTGTATTAACTATTGGATAGTCCTCATTTCTGTCGCACGTCACTTTAACATACAAAACTTAGTTTCTAGTAACACTGCCTACCGATCAAGTTATGGGAATAGAACATAGTCTATTTTTGCATTTGAACTTTAGCCCAATCACTAAAAGCCTCATTTTTCTGATGGGAAAGTTGATTAACATACACAATTATTCCGTTATGTTTGTTAATTAATGAATCATTCTGACTACTTACTAGCAGTTCAAAAAAGGGCTTTTTTTCAATATGTTTAGAATTTACTGGAAAATGTCGTCATTGGTGACTACGAAATACTTTTATATTGGTTTTCTGAAATCTCCTCTTGTAAATTTGTAAATTAATTTTCTCCTTTAAATATCCCAATATTCTGTTCTTAAACTCTAATGTTAATTGTACAAATACTATGACTAACTAATGTGTTATTAATTTTCTCTCAATTCATAGCAAACTGTACAAGTCTGCGAATGTATACCTAATAAAGGTGAATTAGGAAAAGTATTCCGAAGTGAAGCAAAAAACATCATACAACAATTAAGCTCACTTACTCTTGATGAATCTCGTAATTTCAATAATGAATTAAAAAGCACCGGGTTAGTTAGTTTTCGGTACATTATATTAAATAATTAACAATATTTAATTTTATTGTTTCACTATAATTATAGATAGATATTGTAACATACTATAAATATTGATCTTACAATAATTTCACTTTGAATTTCGTGGTTAACAAAATTCATAAACTTTCTTGCGCACTGCTGATGAGTCCCATACCAGGACGAAACGGCCGTCCAGTGCTTCCAGGTTTCTAATGGTGGTCTAACATTGATCGATTCATGGTTACAAATAAAACTTTCTTAGTTTTTTTTTAAATCTTTGTAAGTGTAAACTTGTAATTCTTCAGTTTAGGACACATTGAATTCAGTCAACAAGTTAAATACTGCTCCTACCTACGTCAGTTAATGAAGTGGATTAGTTAATAAGTCTTTTGTGGCTTGCTGTTCTTGAACACTTCATCTCACTCGACTGGCGGCCTCAAAAATCTAACATGATTCGAGGAGAAACGATATATTTCGAAACAGAGGGCAAAGAGTTTAGTTAATTAGTTATATATCGATTAAAATAATAGTAATTTATAAACGGAGTAACTTTAGCTAAATATGAATTACAGTATATTAGCTAATACAACGAAGACACATTAAAAATTAAATAATTAGCTAGATAAAAGTCAATGAACGAGTTTCTCGTTAAATCATTTTGTGGATTCCGACATTGATGCCTATATAAATGTAGTTAGTATTTAAGGATTTCATATTCCCAACAGTAGTATTTGTCCAAAAATTAGGTATTTATAAGCACCTCACATACATTTGAGTTTGTTTGCACTTAACTTGGTGGCTAAACACTTTTATTCACTTTATTTAATAATAGAGAGTCATTCGTACAGCAATAACTAAATCTATACGAATGTATTTTTATTATTGTTCAGCTTGTATGCGCATGTACGCTTAAGCATTGCTTATTGCCTACGCATATATTGATTTTGTTAGTTTTGATGTTGATCGTTTAAATTATTCGATAATAATATCGACTATTTTAGATTTGAGTTTGTGTGTGTGTGTGTGCATGCATGCTTACTCGTATATTACATGTCTAGCCCATTATTGCCTGATTATAACTATTTAGTCATGCTTTTTAACTCATGGAGTCAGCTCACTAGCCATCTCCACTTTACTTCTTCGTTTTGCTTGTGCGCTTCTCATTCTCACGTTTATCTGCTTAAATGAATGTATGAAATAAATTCATCCGCAAAATCCTATTTTGTTTCTTGTTACCACCGTCGTACAAACAGGGTTTGCCTAAGTATGATATACGAAAATGGAAAGAAAGATTTATTTCATCTCATAATTGATCATTTGTCCAAACTGAAGGGCTGAAGCGGTGAGCTTTACCTCGAATCTAATGTAGCCCACTAAAGTATGATGACACTAAGTGTGTTAAAATGCACTCGTACAACTCTAGAAATAATCATATAAGTAAAACTACAAAAGAAGTACTCAATAGTCTCAATCAATATGAACTTTTTATTAATATATCATTCAGTGGTTTAGTGTAGTTAGTAGATTATATAAACTTTCATTTGGCACAGTTGGTAATCAATGTATACAATGACTGCACATACTAACTGAGGGTCTTCTAAAATGTCTAAAATCTTTCTGTTGCTTGTGAAAATAAGGTTTAAATGCTTGAAGATAATATCAAGGGCTACATTAAGAAAAGCAGTACTTTTCAGTTTTACAACTCCCTGAATGATAGCAACTATACAATCGACAACGTCAACTATGCTAAAATTAAGTAACGAAGCATTGTTTTTGGGTGTCTAGCTGATTGCAAGATGAAATTTCAGAATAGGCGAAGAAATTGAACGTCAAACTCTGTTGTATGGTTGGATTCTTCTGTATTTCGCTTGGAAATAAAAGTAACAGTAGCTCCAAACTCCAAATTGACAGCTCCAAATCTGCATGTTTCTAAATGTTTACTTCCTAACCTTTAGATTTTAAAACCAGTAATATCTTTACAACTTGCATCGAATTAATGCTTTACTTCCCCCTACTTTCATTCTCACTTGCATGATGAACACCTCTTTGTCTTTTGTGGATGATGCAGTACAGCATATTTGGTTGCAACGTAAATTATGTACACACATTGTGTACACATCTCTGGCAAAAGGGAATCATCTTTTATTAGTATAGTGCAAACTATTTGGTCCTATTTGTCTGTTGATAACCACAATAAACCAGCTAATTTTTTTCGCACATCACAAAAACACCTAGAAAGGCTGTGATAGGGAATCGGCCACAGAATACCATATCATGGTATGGTATTTAAAGCAGTCAGTTTGCAAACAGTACTGCGAGTTTGAGCTTCACCTATTTATATAATTTCTATGTATGTGAGTATCACTAATCCCTTCCACCAGCAGATCGTGTAACTTATGGCCGAGCGCCTAAAATCTGCACGCAGTATATACTGTTATAGTGAACGAGAACACAGGTGGGGCAACCGGTTTGTATTTAACGAAAATTACAGAGTTACTCAGTAAAATCGGAAAACCATATCGTAAATCGTTAATTTGCAAAATATCAGTTCATCATATCGAACTGGACTGTTCCTGTTACAAAACATCAATCCATTGTCACTATTCATGCGTTTCATAAAAATTCCATTGTGTTCTAAATCTTCCTTTCTTGATCTTCCCCCATCTTCTGCTGCCAGACATTACGTTGACACTCACGTCATATACTACTTGTAAGTAGCTCGCACCACACTGTCACCTTATTTTCCCAAGGATATAATGAGTTTTTTCTTTACTAGTTCATTCAAACACCATATCCGCCACAGCTTAAATTGGAATGTATATGTCTGTAATCAGTTGTACGTCTTCTTCTCAAATTCATCCTGTGTCTGTCCGACAGTGTATTGGATAAAGACTCTGTATTATCTAGAATGCTCTCATTAGTATTAGAATTAACAACCGAAATTGGAACAGACTCACCTGGCTCTTGGAAATGTATTTGATCAACATGTCGATTATGTGTACTTAAGTCATTGATATCTAGAAGTCGCACCATAGATTTCCCGACATTCTTCTGAACGATCCCCGTGGATGGTCGAAGTTCATTGCCACGATAATATGTAACTTCTGCAGACTCCAAACATCTCATATTCGACCGAAGAATTCTTCCTTTTAATAGTTTTGATGGAGTCTCTTTCGTCACTGAATGTCTGGCATTTCTATATTGCAGTAGAAAGGTATCTACTCCCCTCTTATATATTATGTATCCTCGTTACTTATACCCAGAGACCAGATGAATCACGGAGTTTATGTTACCACTGAATTAGATAATCGAATAATGCACCACGTTAAACCAGATACACGATTGATATGTAATAATAAGATTTTGTCTAAACATTGACCTGGATAACTTTCACCGCTAATTGTCGCTTTTGTCTTCCATTTTCCAATTAGAAAAGCTACATTAACAGTTAATGGAAACCAAATTGACCTCAATAATTCAATGGTTCAGTTTAAAGAATATGAAAACACTGTACACGGTAAGAAAATTTCCTTGTTCTTCTACCATTAATTCGTAAATTCGACTGCTCATTTCCACACAGTAAAAAATTTATTTGAATGCATAAATTATACTTCATCAAGTTATAATCGATGCAGAAAATGGAACTAAGATTCGTTTGGGAAGAAAAGTCTTCACGCAGTGAATAATAATACCAAGCGAATCTAACTAACTACTTGTAGTAGCAGTCATAACAACAAATGGTAAGGATTAGAGAGAATATGTTTTGTGAAGAAAAATTGAAAAAGGCATATAACGAAGAAACACGGAAACAACCGGAGAAAAATAAATGGTGAATAGTATCTGTGCCGTTTTGACTAATTTCGAACTATATTATCCAACGTCCCCCAAGAGTTTTACGTTGATATGATTGATTGACTTATAACTTTGACATCCTTACGTACTTCATAGTATATTAGATGCTAGTTGTTCGTTTAAACTACTCTTTCTTAATCAATCCTGATACTGTTTTTATGGTTTTACACATTGGTTAAGAGATATCGGTAGATTAAATTCCCGTCCAATGTGACTATTTGTTGGGGATGTTAGATCCCCAAAACTCGCTTGGGCTGATCAGTTGACCTTGAAATTTCATTTCCCACCAGGAAAATCCATGGGTGTGATTGGCTGCTGTGTATTTTAGTGTGCTGTTTTCGTAACTGTCCTAAGGACGTTTCTATGATGTATTAATAAACGAGAGCTGTGTGCTTGATTGTATTGTAATTGATGGGTGTTTGTAGAATATGCTTTCTACGCTTACAAAGCCTTCTGTCTTCAGCTTGGGATTCAAGGTAGCCTATCTATCTGGACGCTGGTAATTGTCTCATTCGCGTTTATCGACTAAGGTGAACTCGTAATAGCTTCAAGCGTACCTAGTGATGAACATATCAATCAATATCAAGACTGACACTCATCCATTTTGCATTTTAGTAAAATAAGTTAGATTGTAACTGTTTTCATTCAAACATAATTGAAGCATTTACTGACTGGAGATAAATAGTTTTCGTTTTGCATTTTGTTCTTGTATTTGTCTCTTTATAAAACATTTTTCTGGTAATAAACCTATGGTCAACTAGTCCTAACATTAAATGTATTTCGTTCACTCGTTCATTCATTCTCGAATATTTTGCATCAAACTTTATTCACTGAATACTTATCATCATGAAATTTACATCCAAAGTTTTCTATTAACTCAATACTAAACACATGAAATCAGGTTAAAACTAAAGGAAAGATTGTTATTTAGCTTACAGGCTATACTGGATTCCCCTTATTCAATAGACTCTGACTTACAATCAAGATTTCGCTATCACACACTATATGTCATTCACTGGGCAGTTTCTATTTGAGGATTTTCAATGTGATTTGTTTGAATTGCATAGTGGCCTATTTTCATAGTGTTAGTAGGGCATAGATTCAGTACGTTCCATACACGATCGCGTTGTTGCACGCTGATTGGCTCTTTCGTATCCAATCAGCGCTAGTCGATACGGGGGGACATTCTAGAATCTTCTCATGTAAGAAACTATAAATATACTAACATTTTGAGCATCTTGACTTCCACCTAACCTTGTTATTGGAATATAATCTATTTCCTGTTCAACCGTGTTCTGATTTAAGAGAACGTCTCAAGTGAATTGAGAGCCCGAGAATACTAGGCATTAGGAATAGCTGGATTGTAATAAGTGAGAATTATAACACATAGCTTCCAATATATATCGTATAAACTAAGTATTCCTTTACAATTACATCTTATTTTCTAGTATCGTGTTGATAATATTTTGTAATATTATTATTATTATTATTATTATTATTATTATTATTATTATTATTGTTATTATTACTTTAGTTACTGAAATAGTACCTAATGTAATTGAACCTTCGTTTGGCATTGGTCGAATATTGTATACCATATTTGAACATTCATTCCGTGTGCGTGAAGGTGATGAACAGCGCACAGTAAGTAATTCAAATAATATTTGCTTAATAAACTTAACGCTCGGAACTTTGATAGACTGTTTGAATTTTATCAATATAACGTTAGTAGATGTTTTGAAAATAGAATAAAATATATGTCTATTGATTTTTCTTTATACGTTCAATAATTGATAAAGATTAATTTAAAATCTAGTTCACCTGAATACTACTAATCTAACAAACTGTATCACCACTCACTGTTCAATGTGTACTAATTTGTCAGAAATGAGGCGAAAAATATGGTAGCACCATTATATCCAAATGTGTAACTTTACTTCAAACATCTGATCTCTGCTGTCTTCGTTTACTTACTTACTTACTTACTTACTTACTTACTTACTTACTTACTTACTTACTTACTTACTTACTTACTTACTTACTTACTTACTTACTTACTTACTTACTTACTTACTTACTTACTTACTTACTTACTTACTTACTTACTTACTTACTTACTTACTTACTTACTTACTTACTTACTTACTTACTTACTTACTTACTTACTTACTTACTTACTTACTTACTTACTTACTTACTTACTTACTTACTTACTTACTTACTTACTTACTTACTTACTTACTTACTTACTTACTTACTTACTTACTTACTTACTTACTTACTTACTTACTTACTTACTTACTTACTTACTTACTTACTTACTTACTTACTTACTTACTTACTTACTTACTTACTTACTTACTTACTTACTTACTTACTTACTTACTTACTTACTTACTTACTTACTTACTTACTTACTTACTTACTTACTTACTTACTTACTTACTTACTTACTTACTTACTTACTTACTTACTTACTTACTTACTTACTTACTTACTTACTTACTTACTTACTTACTTACTTACTTACTTACTTACTTACTTACTTACTTACTTACTTACTTACTTACTTACTTACTTACTTACTTACTTACTTACTTACTTACTTACTTACTTACTTACTTACTTACTTACTTACTTACTTACTTACTTACTTACTTACTTACTTACTTACTTACTTACTTACTTACTTACTTACTTACTTACTTACTTACTTACTTACTTACTTACTTACTTACTTACTTACTTACTTACTTACTTACTTACTTACTTACTTACTTACTTACTTACTTACTTACTTACTTACTTACTTACTTACTTACTTACTTACTTACTTACTTACTTACTTACTTACTTACTTACTTACTTACTTACTTACTTACTTACTTACTTACTTACTTACTTACTTACTTACTTACTTACTTACTTACTTACTTACTTACTTACTTACTTACTTACTTACTTACTTACTTACTTACTTACTTACTTACTTACTTACTTACTTACTTACTTACTTACTTACTTACTTACTTACTTACTTACTTACTTACTTACTTACTTACTTACTTACTTACTTACTTACTTACTTACTTACTTACTTACTTACTTACTTACTTACTTACTTACTTACTTACTTACTTACTTACTTACTTACTTACTTACTTACTTACTTACTTACTTACTTACTTACTTACTTACTTACTTACTTACTTACTTACTTACTTACTTACTTACTTACTTACTTACTTACTTACTTACTTACTTACTTACTTACTTACTTACTTACTTACTTACTTACTTACTTACTTACTTACTTACTTACTTACTTACTTACTTACTTACTTACTTACTTACTTACTTACTTACTTACTTACTTACTTACTTACTTACTTACTTACTTACTTACTTACTTACTTACTTACTTACTTACTTACTTACTTACTTACTTACTTACTTACTTACTTACTTACTTACTTACTTACTTACTTACTTACTTACTTACTTACTTACTTACTTACTTACTTACTTACTTACTTACTTACTTACTTACTTACTTACTTACTTACTTACTTACTTACTTACTTACTTACTTACTTACTTACTTACTTACTTACTTACTTACTTACTTACTTACTTACTTACTTACTTACTTACTTACTTACTTACTTACTTACTTACTTACTTACTTACTTACTTACTTACTTACTTACTTACTTACTTACTTACTTACTTACTTACTTACTTACTTACTTACTTACTTACTTACTTACTTACTTGATCTCATTCCATCTGATCATAACTTACTTAAGAAAATTCTTTTTCTTCGTAATACATCTACACCAATCACAGCTCGATAGAATTTCTCGAATGTCGATATAACTAGCATATAAGGTGATTGGATGATGAAATAACATTGCCTATTAAGGTTTAGATGATTTTTATATTCTGTTTTAACTCCATACAAAAAAAACTAAAAATACACATGACTTCTCTGTACATTTCTGACACTTACTAAAGTAAAGATCTCTTCTGTTCCTTTGGGTTTTTGATTTTCAACTTGGGAGCAGTTCTACTTGTCCTTGTACCAAAAGTTGAATTGTGTATTAGTCGTTATAGTAACAGACAAAAGAAAATGGAAAAAAAATGTTTTTATTAGAACAGTTCATACTATAAATGTGATTGAATTCGAGTCAACATATTTCAAGAAATGATCTAACTATGGTTCGATAATTTACTAAAATTGTCGCTTTTTTTAATGCCACATCGTTTAGTTCATTTTTTTATGTTCGCTTTATAATTAAACTGAATTAATATTTTGTAAACTGTATGGAAAAATAATTTTTCAACAGGTATATTTCTAGGCCATATTACTAAAAAAGACACGCTGGGATTGTAATCGACTGGGATATATATATATATATATATATATATATATATATATATTCATTAAATCTTACTTACGCCTGTCACCCTCAGTGGAGCATAGACCGCCAACCTAGTTTACTCAGTGTGCATGTTATCAATGAAAATTGTAAAAAACATCCCTTAAGCTTTCGTGTTTTTTCATTTCCTCTTCATCAACAACTAGGCAAGTGGTCATGCAACTGATTTGTGTGTGTAGAGTTCCTTGTCAATAATCACAAATAATTTTACATAAAAATTAGTCTTTATCCATTAAACAGTATTTCTGTCAACATAGGGTTTCATTCTCTCAGCACAGATACAGAAGGCTCGATTGGCCTTTGCCAACTTGCGTCACTTATGGCGTAGGCGAGATATCCGTTTGCTAACCAAAGAACGAGTCTACTGCAGTTCTCTCTATCCTACTAATATATGGGTGCGAAACATGGCCGGTAAGAGTACAGGACAATAATAGGTTACTGGTCCCCAATCATGGGTCTCTCCGAAGCATTGCTTGTATATCATGGGACAACTGAGTAAGCAATGCTGCCATTAGGAAACGAGTACTAGGTAAGAAGAGCAGATCAGTAGATGAAGTATTGAAACTTCATCACTTGAGGTGGTTGGGACATTTGTTACGAATGCCCAACTACCGACTGCCTCGACGAGCTATGCTTTGCGATGTAGGAATAGGTTGGACGAAAGCTAGGGGAGGCCAAACCAAAACATGGCACAAATCCTTGAAGACACTGACAAGTGGATTGAGTTATGTCGGTAGGTGTCGACTACCTTGGTTGGGGTCCGCGAGATGATAATAATCAACTGTTAGAGACCCTGAGTGACGTGGCTCAAAATCGTTTGCAATGGCGCAGGTGCATTCACGCTTTGTGTTCCCTCATATCCTAATCTTCTCGATTCGTCATCACCTCTACCTTTCTCTTTCTAAACTTATCTCTCTGAATTATACTTCTTGAATAATATCTTGGAACCCCAATCTTCTCCATTACCAGTAATACTTTTACTATCTCTACCGCTATGGCATTTGAAGTGACAATTTGATCTGTGCTGATGTGGTATGGCAATGTGAACTTATGTACTTATGTACGAATTTCTACGTTGTAACCGATTGAGGGTTTAATTCACATCATGATGATTTCGATTGTTTAAATATAGAGTGTCCCGACCGAAGCTGCTACCTTGACGTGGTGGTCGGGCTTGCCTATCGTGATGACCCAACCGAGCTATACTGGCTGGAACACATGTTCCTGCAGGTCCTACCATGCCAGGCAGGTCGATTGGAGAACGATGAGACTAAAAGCAGCTACCCAAGGTCTGAGGGCGAAGTCGTACTGCTGACTGCAGAGGGGTGTGACAGCAGTAAGGTGTTTCCCTCGGACAACCAGCATCTGCAGCGATGCTGCCTTCTCACAAGGACGGAAGGGTTAGAAAAGGTCGGCCCTAAAAATGTCACACCTCCCCTAACTCACGGATTTCCGTCTCCTTGGGTAAGGGTGCCCACTAAGGGCCTTTAAGAACGGAGCTAATCCTCTAAATACCTCTCATAAAAAGGCCGTGCGTGACCGGCCTCAAGCAGTTGTCCCTTGGACTCTGCGGTCACGCACCAACACTAATCCATCTTCCTTTTCAGGTTCGTCAAGAAACAACCTTCCACGGTGTGGGCAGCCGGGAAGTGATAACCGCCCTCATACCCGCAACAGCACACGAGACAAAATTGTTCAAAATCAAATCCTTCCCACATTCCCTAATACCTCTCTTATCTCCACAACTAACTCTTCTCACATTCATTTATTACAGTGCACAGCTAATGCAAACGATGCGAGTTTGCGAAACGTCGTTCCTGGTCTCCTTAAACCCCGTTCCAAACTACATGTTGGAGCATTCAATGTAAGGACATTGTGTCAAATAGGGCAACAGGCGTCATTAGCTAGGACTGTAGAATCTCGTTCCATCGATGTGTGCTGCGTCTCGGAAACGCGCATACAGGATCCGAGTAGCATCACTCATTTGACCTCACCATGTCACGATAAAGAAGCAGCTCGATTCACCCTTCGTGTATCCGGTAGCCCTGATGCTGCTTCTAGGGGCCTCGCCGGTGTAGGTATAGCATTGAGTCGTAGGGCAGAACAATCTCTCCTTGACTGGATCCCTGTAGATAGTCGCTTGTGCGCCGTCCGACTGAACGGGACAGTAAGGACTCGGAGAGATAGGGACACTCGCCGTTG